CCGGATGTTTTCCAAGCCCCCTTCCCTTTGTCTGGAAAGCGAAGATGGAAAGCGAACCGAACAAACAGCTATTTAGTGCAGATTAAAAGGACAAATCCACTTGTCCCACCATCTGGTATCTATTTATACCCGTCCTTGGAGCGTGCGGGAGTTGGTTGGGTTTCGGATGGACCCTGACTGCTCCGGGGAGAGCGGCAATCCACCTGCACCGCCTTGGCTTGGCCGAGGGTTTGGAGCCGGGGCCAAAAGCAAATTACGGGATCCCCAGGGCTCAGGAGAAGCTGACTGAGTGCTTTTGGCCAACAACCGGCTGCGGACGAGTTGAATCCCGCTCGTCCCGTCCTCTCCGTGCCTTTGCAAACAGGCTCTGGCTTGACGAGCCACCCAGAAGTGAACGTCGCCTTCTCCGGGGTTTCCTTCCCGGCATCGAGGCCGAGGATGTGGGTATCGGGATCAGATGTGGGGCAGCCGCGGGGTCGGGTTTGGGGAGCCCAGAGGCGCAAACGGAATGGGTTCTGCCTCCTTGCAAGGAGCGGCAGCACAGCGGGCGCAAGGCGCTTCCCTGCCATTTCCAACCAGCATCCCGGGAGATCTTGGCAGGATTTCTGTCTAACTGGTAAATACAACTGGAAAAATCAGCCCCTTACCTGCTCTGGAGGGAAGAGGACACCAGCCCAAGCCCGAGAGGATCACGGGAGCATCCCTCCTCTGCCCCATGGAGACACGAGCATCGCCGCTGAGCCACCCTGCTGCAGAGGCAGCGCAGGGGTTTCGACTGCCCGGTCTCTTTTTTTTCCCCTGACTGCAATCCTTAGCTCCCCCTGCTCTCGAGAAGATCAAATCCCACCCATTTTCCCCCCCAAAATGAGGTCCGACACACCCGCATTACAGCAGCTCCGGCATCCCTCCTGCCCCAGCATCGCTGCTTCTGGGAGAGCCCTACGCCAGGGACGCGCAGGTACCACCAGCATTGCCTGATGCCAGACTGCCAGCGGCAAACGGCACACACAGAGGCTTAGCAATGGAGAAAATAAATATAAATGAGAGCATGGGGAACTGAAGTGGTTGTTTTTAACCTGATAACATTGGAGGATTTCACTTTCTGATACACAGGCTTTTGCAAAATCTCTGCTGACATTCTCCTTCGTGGGAACCAGTCGGAAGCTGAAGCCTGCAGAGATTCCTGAACTGTTTTGTGTTTGGGTTGTTTTTTTTTTTTTAATTATTATTATTTGGGGGGGGAGAAACTGCTCTTACACAAACACTAACTATTATTATGGTATGCACATAATGATCTAATATCGCCGGACCCACCCAGTGCAGAAGGATGGCAGGGAGCGCCGTGCAACACCCCGGCACGACTTGCCTCCTTCCGACACGCTAGCCGGCTCGTGGAGATTAATGCTCAACCCGACCTGGGGCTGGAGGTTTGTTTGTTTGTTCATAGAGTTGTTGGGTTTGGGGGTTTTTTTGGGGTTTTTTTTTTTCCTCCTTTCTCCCTAGAAGCCAGCATTTCTGTAGGGGGGAAAAAAAAAAAAAAGAGATTTCTGGAGTGCAGACAGATGGAAGGAAGAAAACACGGGGTCAGATGCGAGGGCTGCCCAGCTTTTGAAAAAAAAAAAAACAACAACTGGTAAAAACATATCCCAGCCTGTCTCTTTCCCCTGAAGTGATGTCTGCGTGCTGGCCCCCTGGCTCGGATAACCCCCGCGCGCGTGGGCCGCCCGCCCGA